AGAGAAACGTGTGTGTTGCACGCGTGTGAGTGTGTGAATGTACTTGCCCATGGGCACACATGTGGAAGCCAGAGAATATCATTAACGTTTCAGCTTTCAGGCTTATAGAAGAGTGAGGTTGTAGATGGTTAGAACCAGATTGGGGCGAGAATTGCAACGTGGTATTGAGCTCTTGTGTCTAGTTACTCACTTCCTAAAAGATGACATCATGCAGCTCTTAATTTGGAGAAGCCTAAGTTGTTTTGTTCCTTTTTTTTTTTTTTCTTTTTGTATCCTATTCCACAACTGAGAGGTTTTTGGGCATTTGCAGAGCTGTGATTGCTTCTGTGTGAATCCTAGAGCTGTGACTGCTTTGGTGGAAGGGGATCCTGCATTAATGATGGTTTTTCTGATTGGTGAGACCTCACAGCAGCTAGTAGATGTCTGAGCCCCTTGGGTAGATCTTGATTATTCTATGTTTGCAGTATTGAGTTTGGTGACCACATTAAGTGTGGTTACCCCAGTGCACTATGAACTATGGATGGTAGCCACACTGAATTCTTGGGCATGAATAAAATTATTAATATCTCAGAAAATAGGGGGAAGATAATATTTTTTAAAAGATTTACTTTATGTGTATTTTCTCTGCATGTATGGATATGCACCATTGCATGCCTGGTGCCTTCAAAGGCCGGAAGAGGGCACCAGATTCTCGGTACTTGAGTTCCAGATGATTGTGAGCCACCATATGTCTGGCTTATTTCACCAAACACAATGATTTCTAGTTCCATCCATTTTCCTTTACAACTAAAGTAAATTCCATTGTGTATATATACCACATTTATCCATTCTTTATCCATTTATCTGTTAGATATTGGCTGGCTCCATTTCCTAGCTTCTGAGAATACTGTGACAAGAGTATATGATCAAGAGTGGTATAGCTGGGCCTCATGTGCATTTATTTTTAATGGTTTTATTGTTCGTTTGTTTGTTTGTTTTTTTCCAAGACAGGGTTTCTCTGTGGTTTTGGAGCCTGTCCTGGAACTAGCTCTTGTAGACCAGGCTGGTCTCGAACTCACAGAGATCCGCCTGCCTCTGCCTCCCCAGTGCTGGGATTAAAGGCATGCGCCACCACCGCCCGGCTTGTTTTGTTTTTTGAGACAGAGTCTATTTAGTGCTGGCTGTCCTGAAACTTTTACTCTGTTGTAGACTGTGTTGGCCTCAAACTTACAGAGAACCTTAGTATTTTTGAGGAGGTTCTCTCTACTGATTTCCATACTGAATTCACCAATTTGCATTCCCACAGCAGTGTAGGGTTGTTTTCAAATTCTCCTCAGCATTAGTTACTTGTCTTCCTGATGACAGCTGTTGTGGAGTGAGATGGAATTTCAAAGCATGTTCAGTTTAGATTTCACTGTTGTCTGAGGATGCTGGACATCTTCTCAAATAGTAGCCATTTCTTCTTACTTTTTTTTTTTTTTTTTTTTTTTTGAGACTGAGTTGTTGCCCAGTTTGGCATGAAAATCATGTAGCTGAGAATAACCTTGATCTTTTGTCTTCATTTCTTAAGTGCTGTGGTAACAGGGCTGACCACCATACCTGATACCATTTCTATTTTTTCTAAGAACTACCTATTCAGGTCATTAACTCATTTAATATATGGATTGTCTCAGGGGTTTTACTGTTTAATCTGCAATTTTTATATATTGTAGATACTCAGCTGATGTCTGATGTTTGAAAGATTTTTCTAGGCTTTGTTTTTTTGTTGTTGTTGGTTTTTTTGTTTGTTTGCTCACTTGCTTGCTTGCCTTTGAGGCTTCTTTAGGAGCAATGATTGAAATGTTGTTTATCATTTCTCATATAATGTAAGCAGAGAAATAGAGCCTGGGATACAGTTGGGAGAACAGCTCCAGCTGTCAGTGAAAGTTAGTTCATATAGCTTCCATCTGGCAGATGGCAATGAATGATGGAAGTCACGGGCAGGATTAGGCCCGTAAATTCATTCCCAGCAGTGAGGAAAGGGTCTAGATTACACTCCAACCCCACCATCCCAGGTACACATCTGTACCTGGAGTGTTCAGGTGTCCAACACACGAACTCACACTCATACTTGTTCATGATCGGCTTGTGGTGGTTCTGACTTTCCTCCTAGATGTTTCCCGGGTAACCTAGCCCTGTTCCTGTCCTCCACTACCAGTCGTCACTGTCCACTATGGGGCTCTAGTCGCAGTGCCAGATTGGCCACCTGGACCTGTGCTGCAACAGAGGCAGCACTGGCTTTTTTAAAGAACCGTTTTCAAAAGATTTTTTTCAGGCCTAAGGGATTTGGCTCACCAAATTAAAGCACATGCTGGCGAGCCCAAGGTCCTGAGTTTGGCCCATAGGGCCCAAATGATTGGAGGAGGAAATAGACTTTCATATGTTGTCTTTTCGACCTACACACACAATAAGTAAATGTTAAAGGTTATTATGGGGGCCTAGAGAGATGGTTTATCAGTTAACGACACCTCCTGCTCTTGCAGAGGACCCAAGTCCAGCTCCCAGCACCCACTTCAGGTGGCTCATAACCACCAGTAACTCCAGTTCCAGGGACTCTCCTGAGCTCTCAGGACAGCAGGCACAAAGGTGACACGTGCGCACATGCAGGGAAAGACAACATATAAACAAATAAGTGAAAAATCACTAGGCTAACTTTTGTTCTGAGCATAGTGATGTGTGCATACGTTCTTGTCCTCAGGAGGCTGAGGCAGGAAGAGTGCCTTGACCTTGAGTAACCTGGGTTGTGTAAGCAAGATCTAATCTCAAAAATACCAAAAACATTTCTTTCTTCTCTAGCCTTCTTTTTGCTTTTTTTTTAAATTTTTGTTTAAGGTTTTATATTTATATGATGTTTGTAAGTTACAGAGATGGGGTGGATTATACCACAGTATGCGTGTAGAGGTCAGAGACAGCTTGGCTGAAGTCGGTTTTTTCCTTCTGATACGTAGGCTTCAGAGACCAAACTCAAACTTTGAGATGTGGCAGCAGGCCCTTTACCGACTAAACCGTCTGGCAGGCCCTCCTCTTTGACTTTGAGGAGCAGTATCTCGTGGGCTCAAACATGCCGTATAGCCAAGAATAACCAACCTTGAACTATTGGTCCTCCTGCCTGCATCTCTCCAGTGCTGAGTGCACTGCACCCGATTTTCAGTCTTGACTCAGTAATTAAAACTTTCCTCAGAGAAAGTGCCAAGCCCAGATGGCTTCACCAGTTTGCACTAAACATTTAAGGAAGAAATAGCACATACATGTGTTTTTCTCTCAGTAAAAGTTGGCTGATTCTGTATGTCAAATTTTGGAACTTACTCATTTTTATAATATATCATAGACTCTCCTTTAATTATGTGTTCTTCCATTACTGTGTGGAAAGGTATTCTGTTATACGAGTAGAGGTTGGTTTAGACAGGCATCTGAGTTTTGAACATGTGTCCTTTCTCCCCACAGTTATGAAATGCATGTCAGTTACTGCCTTGCTCATTCATTTCACACACATGAACATTAACATGAGGTAAATTCCTTTAAAACTTTTTTTTTTTACTCTGTGTGTGTGTGTGTGTGTGTGTGTATACAAATGCACTCATGGGATACTTACAGAAGTCAAAGGAAGGCTTTTGATTCTTGGATAACTTCTTAGAGAGTAATTTGAGGACTAAAGGTATGTAATCTATATATTTTTTTAAAGCTACCTAAATTCAGGTTTAATTTAATTTTATTTATTTTGAGACAGGGTTTCTCTGTGTTGCTTTGGAGCCAGTCCTGGAACTAGCTCTTGTAGACCAGGCTGGCCTCGAACTCACAGAGATCCGCTTGCCTATGCCTCCTGAGTGCTGGGATTAAAGGTGTGTGCCACCACCACCCGGCCATCTACCTGTTCTTAAGTCCAGTCTTCTCAGCCTCTGTGTAATACCTTCCGTGCCTGTCTCTGTCACCCACTTTTTGCTCTTGGTATGGTGAGAATTTTTTTTTAATTTGTTTTATTTATTATGTATACAGTGTTCTGTCTGCATGTATGCCTGCAGGCCGGAAGGGGACATCAGATCTCCTTACAGATGGTTGTGAGCCCCTTGTGGTTGCAGGGAATTGAACTCAGGACCTCTTTAAGAGCAGTCAATGCTCATAACCTCTGAGCCATCTCTCCAGCCCCACCCCGCCCCCCAGCGCCCCCACCCCCGTGTGAGAGCTCTTTCTTTCATTCTTGGACTCAGCACTTTCTCTCTCGGCTCCAGCGTTTGTGTCAGCACCTGCACTGCTGGCTGGCATGTTTAGTTGTTCTGGTACACTCTTCCTCTTGGGACTTTCTACCATGTAGACTGAGAATGAGCCCATGAGGTTTTTCCATGTTACATGATTTATCCATTCCTTTTTTAAAATGTGCTTGCTGACGCAAGCATGGTGGCAGGTGACTTAATACCAGCATTCAGTGACAGAATCATGAATGTCAAGCTGTCATAAGCTATTTAGCAAAACTCTGTTTCAAAAGACCCAAAACTTCAATATCTGTCTTTATAAATCAGTTTCCTGAGAGCAGAGACTGTGTTAGTCTTCCTTGTTAAATTCCTTATTTAGAATATGCTTGGCCTTGTATTTGTTGAATAAATTAATTTACTAATTTAACACTGGTAATTTGTTTAGTGACTAATGAATATTACTGTCTTCATTTTGTTTGTTGGCCATCTTTATTTCTGGATTCTGTCACATTTTTCTACTAAATTGCCTGACTTCTGCATAATAGCTTTATTTTTCTTTTCTTTATTTACTTGAGACAGAATCCTATGTAGCCCTGGCTGTCCTGGAACTCACTATGTGGATAAGGCCAGCCTTGAACTCACAGAGATCCACCTGCCTCTTCTTCCTAAGTGCCAGAATTAAAGGCATGTGTTTTCACACTTGGGGCATAATAGCTTATGGAAACATCAAACAAATTGTGATTTCTGCTGACAAAGGTTACCTCTAGTAATTTATTCGTGGTTTTTGTTTAACAGATTCTGAGATTGAGACTGAGAAGGAGCTATCCATTTTAAACCAGAAATGTTCTGAAGAAGTAAAAACACCAGAATTAGTATCACAGAAATTCCCAAGGGCTAATTCACACACACCTGAATCCCAGGAAGCTTGTGACCATAAAGGTCAGGAAGAAGAGAACCAAGGAAGTTCTCCTCAGAGTCTGAAGAGAGCTGCTAGCGAGGACTCTCCAGTGTGTAGGAAAGAACTTCCAGAAAATGCCCAGATTCCTGCTTTTGATAGACACGTGAGTCCAAGCCCAAGTGTTGTTACAATTCAAAGAAGTAAAACAGGACAGAGAGTCTTTACATGTGACATATGCAATAAAACATTTAAATATAACTCAGACCTGAGTCGGCATCGCAGAAGTCACACCGGGGAGAAGCCTTACGAATGTGGCCCGTGTGGGCGGTCCTTTACCCACAGCTCCAATCTCATTCTGCACCAGCGAATTCACACTGGGAACAAACCATTCAAGTGTGACGACTGTGGGAAAACTTTTGGGCTCAATTCCTATCTCCGTCTGCACCAGAGAATTCACACTGGAGAAAAGCCTTTTGGGTGTAACGAATGTGGGAAGGCCTTCAGCAGAAGTTCCAGTCTTATTCAGCATCGTATAATCCACACTGGAGAGAAACCTTACAAGTGCAGTGACTGTGGGAAGGCCTTCAGCCAGAGTCCCCAGCTGACTCAGCACCAGAGGATTCACACGGGAGAGAAGCCCCACGGCTGCAGCTGGTGTGGAAAGGCGTTCAGTCGAAATGCTAGCCTCATTCAGCACCAGAGGATTCACACGGGAGAGAAGCCCCACAAGTGCGCTCAGTGTGGGAAAGCCTTCAGCCAGAGCTCCAGCCTCTTCCTTCACCACAGGGTTCACACCGGGGAGAAGCCCTACGTGTGCGGTGAGTGCGGGAGAGCCTTTGGCTTCAATTCTCATCTCACTGAGCACGTCCGGATTCACACGGGGGAGAAGCCCTATATCTGCAGCGAGTGCGGCAAAGCTTTCAGCCGCAGTTCCACTCTGATGCAGCACCGCAGAGTGCATACCGGGGAGAAGCCCTATCGGTGCACCGAGTGCGGGAAGGCCTTCATCCAGAGCTCCCAGCTCACCCTCCACCAGCGTGTTCACACTGGAGAGAAGCCTTATGAATGTGGGCTCTGCGGGAAGGCTTTCAGCCGGAGATCAGCCCTCACTCAGCATCAGCGGACTCACATGGGAGAGAGCCCACAGGAGTTTGAGTGTGACCCAGATTTTGTTTATGACTCCAGCCATCTGTCCACGGGAGAGAGACACGGCAGGGCCTTCAGCCACAGTGCAAAACTTGTTCTCCAGTGGACAATTCAGAGTGATGAAAAACCCCGGGGATGCACTGAATGCGGGAAAGCTCTCAGTGCTTCCTCAGTGGAATATCAGAAAATTCAAGCTGCCGAGAAACCCTATAAATGCCAGGAATGTGGTAAAGCTGGCAGCGGCATGTCCCATACTCAACATCATGTAACTGGGGTTGGAGAGAAACCACAATTGAATGACGGATCTGAAAGATACTTAATTCATATCAAAAAGATTTTTCAAGAAAGACATTTTTAATGTGATGAATGTGGGAAACAGTTTAGAAAGTTTATTTTATATTAGGTAGGACGGCATAATGAAAATTAAACTCTCATTAGCAGACTTGCCTCTTAGGAGGCTGGGGCCCTGTGTGCCTACTGTCTCCACCCACCCCACTCCCCACACCCAGGGTCCTGACTGACTCAGCGTAGCGGGCCACCTTAGCATCAGGTCAAGTTCAGGTTTTTAGCACAGGGCCGAGTTTCAACACTAAAGAGCACTGACGGAAGGTTTCAAGATACGACATATCTCTTCATTGGTGATCGAAAACGAGAAACCCAGAGATCTGGGGAATTGGGTTTGTCACCTTTGAGAATATTAATGATGCTAAGGACAAGATATGGCAGTATGTGGACGGTTTGGGGACTGAGGTGGCTCTGCCAGTCTCTAGGTGTAGAGGAGACTGAAGCTTTGGGGGACAGCCACTGTAAGGCACGGAGAGAGGGCTACAGAGTGACAGTTGGTAACCGGAGCTTAGGGCCAGTATGACAGTGACAGCGAGGACAGCTACAAAGAGTGAAGCTGCTGGAGGCTCTGGTGGCTGCAGTCTAGCGACAGTCATGTACAGAGAACAGATCCTGCACTCCCTCTCCCTGCCCGCAGCGTGACTGCTGCTTACACCACACCTCCTCTTTATCTTTAGTAGGCTTCTTTTTAAAGAGCTGTCCTTGTGTTGTTCTGTTCTGTTTTGTTTAATGTTTTCCAAGTACCTGAGCCACAGGGACAGGCAGAGCCCTGTGAGTGTGAGGTTTCAGATCAGACACTTGTGTCCGCCATCTTTACTGTTGTGTGTGTGACGGGAGGAGTGCTGGCTGTACTGCCTCTTCTCTCCAGAGCCTCCACTTGGGTCTCTGAGAGCAAGCAAGTGGACTCTGAATCTATGATCTTTTTGGAAGTTGCGCAAGCTGTGGTTCCTCCATCTCCATATAATATTTCTCAGTGAAGCATGGCTGGAGACCAGTTAGCAGCAGGGTTGCCTGAGTCCAGCCTGCACACCTCCATGCTGTGTGCCCAGTGTCAGTGCAGACAGCAGGAGATTCTAGGTGATGTTTATTTATATTGTACTTTTTTACTGGAAGGTGTATGACCAAGCCATGGTGATGTATTTGATGGCTGAGGAGTTCTGATACCCAGTTTCCTTTGGATTTATGAAGCCAATTAAAAAAACTGAAAATCACTATCAATCTGTAGGGATGCGGTGTGACTCAGTACAGAGTGTGCCTAGTTTATACAAAACCCTTGGTTTGATCCCAGCACTGTAAAAACTGGGCATTTTGGCATACACCTTTAATTTTAGCATTCCAGATATGGAGGCAGAGGATAAGTTCAAGGTTATCCTTAGCTACATAGCAAACTTGAGACCAGCCGAGGCTACGTGATACCCTATCCAAAACAAAACAGAAAATTAACTAATTAAATAATACCAGCAAGCAAGATAAATTGAAGGATTGCTAGTCATATTGAAGTTAAAAGTAAACACGGGGAATTCATCCTGGAAAATAAAGTTGTCTGTGTGGGCGTTACTGTTGCATGCAGGTGAGCTGGATGGCACCACCCTGCCGAGTGAGGGAGAGCACCGCAAGTGGTCCCCACTAGTTCTTTCAGGCCCTAACCCTTGGCTTTGACTGACTAGATGCCCCAATTATGTCGCCTAGTTTTCTACAAGTTACACATTCCTTTTTTTTTATCTTCCCCCCCCATTGATTTATTTATTATGTGCACAGTATTCTGTCTGCATGTCTCCCTGAAGGCCAGAAGAGGGCGCCAGATCTCATTACAGATGGTTGTGAGCCACCATGTGGTTGCCTGGAATTGAACTCAGGACCTTTGGAAGAGCAGGCAATGCTCTTAACCACTGAGCCATCTCTCCAGCCCAAGTTACACATTTCTTGATGTCCACAACCCTTGATTGCCAAGTGGTGGTGTGGTCCCGCAGATAGGTGAAGATCATCCACATGTTGAAGTAGGCACATCTGAGTAGGGAGAATGAATTTCTCCAAAATTTGTCCAAGTATGTGACCAAAAAGACTAGGAGAATCACCGAATCTTATTAATATTGTTGCTTTCTCTAAGAATGGGGGTCTTCCCACTCAAAGGCAAAGAGGTCCCTGCCTTCAACTCCAAAGGTGCAAGCCTAAAAGTCATTTTTGTTTTCTAAGATAGGGTTTCTCCTGGCTGTCCTGGAAGTGCTCTGTAGACCAGGCTGGCCTCGAACTCACAGAAATCCGCCTCGCCTCCTGAGCCCTGGGATTAAAGACATGTGCCACCACTGCCTGGCCTAAAAGGCATGTTTTAAATCTATGACACTTTTTAACTTATAGTGTTTCTTCCTGAGGAGGGTGTATGTGTTAGAGACCATAGGGTGTTACTTGTAACAATCTGATAAATTGCTCTAAGGTCTTTGGCTATTTAATATGAACCATTGTGCTTGACTGGTAGGATTGGGGTGCTGAAGTAGAACACACAGGCTTTAAGAAGTCTGTCTTTTATGAGCTCCTCAATGGTAGGGTTAAGTCCTAGCCTCCTCTCTAAGGGTACAGGGTGGTGCCTTCCTTTAACCACTTGTATAGGGTGTCCTAGCTGGTCAATCGGAGGACCTTGCAGGTCACACTGATTTCCTTCCTGGGCCCAAACATTAGGTTTGATTTGTTTTTCAACCCAGGAAATCATCAAATTGAAGGAGCTCTTGGCTTCATCCTGAATTATGTTGAGTCCAACTCTTAAGTTGGGCATCAAATCTCTCACCGGTAGGTTGGTTCCTGCTTCTGGAACACAAAGAAACTTGTTTTACAGTTTCCCTTTCCAGAAATTTGATTGGGATTTTTTTTCTCAAAAAGTGGAGGAGAGAATTCTCCCTTTACTTTGATTACTACCAGTTTTTCTGGAGGAAAGGCACATCCTTGGGAGATGTTTAAATAGGGAGGAATGGATGCTCCTGAATCAAGAGATGCGATTTCTTCCTCCCAGGGAACTCCCTTTAAAGGAAAACAGAGCCTTTGACCCCTGCCCCCAAGTCATCATTAGAACTGAGGAGGGTCGGGGGCTGGAGAGAAGGCTCAGTGGTTAAGAGCATTGCCTGCTCTTCCAAAGGTCCTGTTCGATTCCTGGCAACCACATGGTGGCTCACAACCATCTGGAATGAAGTCTGGTGCCCTCTTCTGGCCTGCAGGCATACACACAGAATATTGTATACATAATAAATAAATAAATATTAAAAAAAAAAAAAAAAAGAACTGAGGAGGGTCATCACCCTGTCTCCAGTCTGGGCATCCCCGTCTGCTGTAAGCCCCCCAGGGGCCTCACTTCCTGAAAGGCATAATGATGACCTTATCGGGATCCTAAGCTTTGCTCCTGTTTCTGGGGCATTTGATCCACAGACGAGAGCACCATCTTCTTTCTGTTTCTGTTTTTCCTCATGTCCTCAAGTATGCTCTTGCTGGGCCTCCATGAGCAATTCTTCAAGTTCACTGCTCTTCCAGCTTTCTACCTTTAGCAAAGTTTTAGAAATGCCTGGTCAACTGTTGGTCACAAATGTAATTTAAACATCCGGTGAACAAAGGAATCCTCCAGATTTAGTCCAGAATAATTTTTCATTTGGTCCTTTGAGAATTCAGCTGGGCCTTGAATCCCAGCACTTGTGTGAGGCAGAGGCAGACAGATCTCTGAGTTCGAGGCCATCTGGTCTACAGAGTGAGTTCTGAGACACAGAGAAACGCTGTCTCAAAAAAATCAGCTGGAATTTCATCTCTTCCTTGTTAATATTCTCAGATCAGCAGATCAGGAACTGATTTTTCCTCTTTCCTAATAATAAGGCCCCTCAGATTCCTAATATGTTCCCCGTGCACTCTGTGGTTACTACTCCACTGGGGATTCTGACTAGAGTATGTAGCATTGACTGCCAGGACTCCAGGTCCAACTAGGGTCTCCCTGTCCCAGATGTTGATCAGAACCATTCTAATCATCCCTTCTTCCCGGAGAAGAGAATGGATTGACAGTAATCCACCCCAAGTATAAACCTGGAGTCCCAATAATTGATCCAATTGGTTTGCTACTCCAGAAGGGTCATCTAGGAAAGTTTTAAGCTCTTTTAAGACTTCTTACTTGGAAACTAATAAGGAAAGCATTCACAAATCCTATTTCACTACCCCGTAAGGGAACCCACTTACAAGTATGTGCTTTGGCTGGGGAAGGACCTGGTATAGGTTGAGCTTTGGGGATATGCAAATATGAAAACTTCTTTATCTGTTTTACATTGTTCTAACTCCAGTTTTAAGTTGGAGTAAAAGGGATTTCTGGGAGGGAGCTGGGAGTGGGATAGAAGGAAGTGAGAGATGAGTTGGAAGAAGAGAAGGGTCCATATTGCTCCTACAAACAGCATGTTCAAGCCTGTAACATAAATGCCCCACTTCTGGTACTAACTTCTATCTTAGTTGCTATTCAGTTGCCACAATGAAATACATTGACCAAGGCAACTTATAGGTGAAGGCACTTAATTGAGGGCTTGCTCACAGTTTTAGAGGGTTAGTCCATAGTCATCATGGTAGGCTGGCCTGGTGCTGGAGCAATAGCTGAGAGCTCTAATCCAGTCCACAAGTTGCAGGCAGAGAGAGAGAAACTGGACCTGGCATGGACTTAAAATCTCAAAGCCCGCCCCTCCCCCCCACGGTACCATACCTACTCCAACAAGACCACACCTCCTAACCCTTCCCCAAACGGTTTTACCAACTGGGGACCAAACATTCAAATACATGAGCTCAGGGCATCATTCTCATTCAAACCACCACACACCCTGACTTGAACAGTTCAGGGAAAAAGAGTTCGTTCATCTTAAAATTGTAGGCTTCCATCTGTCACTGTGGGGACGCCACAGCACCACAACAGCTGCTTCTAGACTGTATGGACAAAACAGAACTCTTACCTGCAGGGCCATCCCCAGCCCCTAGAAGTTTGTTCTGTTTGTTGTTTTTGTTTGTTTGTTTTTTTTTTTTTTTTTTTTTTTGGGTTCTCCTGTAGCCCTGGCTGGCCTGGGATTTGTTACGTTATCAAAGGTGACCTTGAACTTAAGATCCTCTTACAGCTACCTCTCTAATGCTCTATTATAGGATGCACCAGGTCTGGTTTGTGTGGCGCGGGCAATCAAACTCGGAGTCTTGTGCATGCTATACTAGGCACCCTACAGACAGTTTTGTCTTATGCGCAGTTTTTCTCAGGCACACGACGTAGAAAAGCTTTATTTGGGAAGGAAGAAATGCAGCAACACATTAGAATAACTATAAAACATTCTGCTTGGCATTGTGTTCCTGCGGGTCTTCTGTCCTGGATACACTGAGTAAATTAAAACCATTCCCAGCTTCAGTTCCTTGGGGCCCCCAGATCTCATGGGAAGTGTTGATGCAAAACACAGCTCTGGCCTGAAAAGGAGTAACAGAAGTTATTTTGAGTCAAATTTGAGTGGCCATGGCCTGGGAACATAGATTACGGCAGTCCCAATGTTAAAGTGGTGACAATAAGCTTTTTGTTTGCTTTTCTGAGACAGAGTATCTCTGTGTAGCTTTGGAGCCTGTCCTGGAACTAGATCTTGTAGACCAGGCTGGCCTCAAACTCACAGAGATCCACCTGCCTCTGCCTCCCGAATAGTGTGATTAAAGGCGTGCAACACCACCTCCCAGCTTTACATGAACTTTTATAGTCACAGAACAAAAGAAAATCATAGATCGAGGTATTGCTTTAATACATTGGTCTGAACATCAAATATGTGGAACTCTAGGCTATAATAGTTCTCGGGTGATATAGTGACTTTCTTAGCTTTTGTATTGGTAGAAGCTAGGGGTCCCTTAAACCGATACGTTCCAAAGGTTTTATGTGTTAGTTAAAAGGATGCTAGCTCACAAAGGTAGACAGTAAAGAGCTATTAGGGAGACTCAAGATAGCCCAAGGTAATTCGGTTCTGGAACTGCAACATTCTGGCTGTACAATCACCTGGTTCTCATCAGCCAACCAGTCATCCTCGTAAATATCTTTAGCATCGGTGCGGCTTTTTAGTTTTTTTTTTTTATAAGGGAACTTTAGTTCACAGAAACATCAGGAGAGACTTGGCTCGATAACACTTGATCTTTTACTTATTGTGGGTCCTTGAACTGGAGGAGTTAGGAAGATTTATGACAAAACACCAAGAGAAAGCAAGTGGAGTTCAATGTTGCAAGCTTGGAACGTGATTCTGGGATCATTTTAAGGCCAGCTTACCACCTCTATATGAGCAAATGCAGCCAGGGTGACTTCACAGCTACAGTGGACCTTTGTGTAAAGTCTGTCTCCCTGTGTAGGAGGGTCAGAGAGAAACAACAAAACAAAACTCCACCCGCCTGAAACAGGCACTGGGCATTCTCAGTGACTCCAGGAGATGGAGCTAGGAGGCCAGGGTGACCATGTGAAGAATAAAACATGTAGGATATGTGGTACACGGCCGAGTCTGCCCTGCAGAAGTGGCACAGCCGCAGGATCTGC